TTTGACATAGCGTAAAACATCAACTTATCACTACTTTAATATTAAGGTCAACAGGATTATTTTGTATGCTCAACTCAATATTCTAAACATCTAAAAGCCTTTAGTCCTTATCAAAACCTAGACAAAATGTCACGATGCCAGGACTGAAGAGACTGATGTCATTTAAAAAGTACCAATGTTGCAATACTCTAGTTCTATTACTATAGCCTTAAAAAATTAACAAGAAGTTAACTTCATACTTTCTTAAAGGCAAGCAATTTCTAGCCTCTAAAATGCATTTTCTTACCAAGTAGTATTTTTTTATTAGCACATAGATTTTATAAGCAGAAAACTTAAGCTTACATATGATTATAGAAACAATGCAAACAGTTTTATTGAAATCACATTAACTCTAACCACAATAAGAGTTCTTAATAATAAAGTCAGTGCATCAATTCACTCATATTTGTGATTCACTGGTACTAAAAAAACAAGTTTGCATTCAGTTTACTGACTAGAGATCATAAGAGTATCTACCTACACATGGAAAGACAGTTTCAGGACAGGTAAAAGAAATGTGACCCAGGTGATGCAAATTAAAAGGATGTTTTCACACCTGTGATCACAGAAAATTGAATAATAGCACTCTTGTATAAAAACTTGAAATACTTCAACTTATCCTATCCCCAAGAAACATGGTCCCAAGATTTACCTTAAAGTAAAGCCCTAAAGCACCTCAAACATTTATGAAACAATTCCTGAATATACTGCATTATCATCTTAGTGTAAGAATAAATGAAACAAAGGCAATTCAGCAATTCATTACTTACAGAATGGTTATTACACAGAAGTACTGTGTGAGACGCAATAGTGATTATAACATATGCCTTGCCTTCAAGGAGCTTATAATCAAGTATGAGAGTGGAGCATGCTCACAAATGACTAAAACCTTTCTTAACCAAGGTTATTCACGTGAATCTCAAAAGACAGAAACTGACTTGAGCACTAGTTTCTCTACCCTTTCAAGGATGGCACATAACTAATAGCCTTCTAGAAGTATATGATGGATGGCTTAGGGTGTTGATGAGAGAAAATAATCAAAAGGCAAAGTGTGGAAGACCACTGTCAGACTCTACACTTTGTATTCTTGCTGCTGGGTCACTGAGAGCCTTCAAATATTTTTAAGCACAGAAGTAACATAACTAGACATGTACAATGTTATTGTATAGCAAACAGTATAGATGGAGAGAGAGAACTGAAAACAAGACCAGCTACGAAGAACTGGAAACAAGACCAGCTATGAGACTGCAGAAATAATCTCAGCCTCCAGTATAAAAATGTCCTGAAAACAAGAGGATCAGAAAGGATGAAAAGGTAAATAAAGCGGACTTTATAAATAACAGGACTAGGAGCAAAAGTAGCTATCTCTAAGGCTTTCATCCAGGATAATGGGGGAAGACAGTGATAACGTGAAACAATGTTAGAAATCTAGTGGTTACAGGTTATAAAGAATAGTTGTTTTTTTTTAAAGCATGTTACTTTTTTCTACACCTTTAACTATGATAGATCTATTTTAGAATATTTTTATTTTAAAATAAATTAAAACCATCATTAAAGACTAGATTTTAAAGCATGTATATCTCTACATCACTTATTCAGAATAAAATACTAACAAAATCCTAAGAAACTTTAAACAACTTGATGATCTCCATAATACTGATCTTTTATCCCCAAAGAGAATAAAAGACTGAGATGAGACCAATGAATGAGCACAGTATATGTAACTTTAGCTCGTTCTGCTGAGAATCACTGTAAATTCTTTTCAAATGTACTTCTTATTGTAGGAATGATCCATCAATAAACTATCACTAGTCTTTAGCCAATGCTTTAAGAAAAACTTCCCCTAAGAAAAGGAGTGATAAATTTTGTCTAAAAGTGTTTCAAGAAACTAGAGGGAGAATGTTGCAGAAATGCACAAGAATGTAAGATCTTTCCCTAACTGGTCCTGAAATTAAACTTTGAATATGGAGACATGAACATGGGGTGCAATACAGAAGTCAGCTTAAGACTTCAACTGTGTAATACGTTTCCCCTGCCTACTTCTCCTACCCCTCAAATAAGTCTTGAGTAACTAGGGCATTGGCACCATCAACTCAGAAACACAAGAATCTTTACCTGAGACCCAATCCATCTTCATAAACCCTATTCTAAAATGTGTGCTAAACAATATTTTAATGGAAAACACATGAATACGCCTTTCTATTTATCTGTTACTTGTTTATTTCCACTTCTGTCCTCTGTGAGACAATGTGATCATGTTACTGCTCCTTTTAGTAGTCAGACTACTCAATGTCCCAAAGTGGGAAAATAGCTTAGAGAATGATTGTGAGATGGCAGGGATGTTTACTAATTATCTGAAGCAGCAAAAGCATCTGCTTTCTGAAAAAAGAGAAGAACAGGATAAGCAGTGAGAACAAAGATTTAGTGTCAGAGAGTCCTTGGTTCATATTCCAGCTCTGATATTGTGAGCTTTACTGTCTCAATTTCTTTATCTATAGAATGGGCATTATAACACTACATAAACAACCCTGTGAGGTAAAACCAGATCAGTGCTTTCCATACCTGGCTGGTCACCAGAAGTGCCTGGGAAACTTTTATTAGAATCATAATATCTCAGGCCCCATTCCATACTTTCAGGGGTATGGTCCAGGGGTATTGTTTTGTTTTTCTGAACAAATTCTAAAGATGATCCTTACATACTGGTTACAACTGGAAATCAAGGGAAAGTTTTACGTATTTTTTATAAATATACGTATTTTTTATAAATATAAAAATTTTACTAATTTTTTATATTTTTATATAATGTATATATTAAGATTCTGTGTAACTTATCAGTAATCTAGTATACTATAAATGTACAATTAATGCTTGATACAACTATCATTTTTTGAAGGAGAAATAAAACTGAGCATTTTGTGACAAGAGGGCCACTTAAGTAGTCTTGCAGAAGGAGTTTGCATAAACTTCACCAAAAATGAGATAGCATGACACTATACTGTTTGAGATAGTGAAAGAAGACATAAATGAAGTTCCACATTGATGACAATGCTCCTTTTCCACAACACAGTTCATGACAGAAGGAAAGTATAAAGTCAGGCATGTCTTGTATTTTCCACAATGAAGTCTGACCATCCCAGTCATTCCATCTCAAAACCTTTTTAATTTTATTTATTTTTCAGTAATTCATACAATTCACACAAACTGTATGTACGTACAGAACAACAAAAGCACTAAATAAATGTGTACAAAAATATTAACGACTGAAAAAATACCTAAAACCCACAGAAGTGGACACTCATTGAACATTCTTAGCTGTCGTTTATAAATAAGGAGTCATCTTTCCTTTTTATAAGTCCAAACCCAATATTTCTAAGTAAAGTAGCCTCAGGTATAAGATATTCAGACTTTTAAATAAAAATACCCAACCAAACTTTTTAAGCTAGTATTTTATATAAATCAATGTTATCTATAGGATTACATTATTATTTTTAAAGTTTTATGATGAAACAACAAATTTGTTTTTAAATGTAGTGTCCAGTTTGTTTCTATTGTACCACAAATCCAGGGTAAATTCAGATACTATTACAGTATGAAACATTCTTTCTTTCAAATGTAGATATTAAATAAAAAATAGTTACCACCAATAAGAAGGTAAAATGCAGAGAAAGTATATGGACATTTGAAGTAAACTACATATATTTATTAGGCACTATATTTTTAAAATTTTAAAGTATTTTTAAAAGATGATTTTTAACAAACCTACAATTTATCTACTAATGTTAAAAATTAAAATATTTCAGCTATACAAAATATAGTGTGTTTACTTAATATATTAAATAAGAAATGTTACCTTTAGGCTTATTTCCCCATATATATATTTTACAAAGATTACAAGGATCAATGATCTAATGCTAACAGATTGGTTTAAGCACCAAGAAAGGAATATGTTATGTAAATAAAGCTTAAAGGGAAGAAGTTGTTTTGGTCATTAAATAATAGGACTTAACCATTGTCTTCTACCAAGTTTTAACCGTTAATCCTACTGGTATTAGAGAAACAAAGTTAAACCAAAAGATCCAGAAGGTGGAGGTAATGTGATCTTAAAAGTCAAAGAAACACAAATTAGAGTTTAAAGACACCTCAAGTAAGTAAACCAAAAGTTACCACTTCCTGTCTGTCTGTAGAATATTAACTACTTACATTAAAAATCCTTATAACGCACTGAATCAGCTGCCATTGTTCTCATAATAGAGAATGAAGAAAAACTTCATGAATTTATTCTGACTACCCACAACACCTATATTTTTAGATATTTGGTGTTGAGGGGAAAAAAAATCAAGGGCATAAAAAAAGTTTTCAGACCAGTTACACACTTGATATGCTGAAAATAAAATATATTTACTTGGAACTACAACATATGATGAGAAATGCTGCCCTTTTGCTCCTCTTCCCTAGAATGACATTTTTCAGGTGCATCCTCTTCATGCCTGTGTGAAACCTCTTTATTCCACATTCCTGGTTACTGAATTCTCCTCCGTGATTAAAAGAATGTTTTGGCAAGTGTTGAAAAAGGCACAAAAACTTAGGAATGGAGGAGAAAACAGAAGGGAAAGAAAAAGTTTCAATATCACTTCTCCATCATCAATTACTTCTCAAGAAACACAGCAGAGTGTATCCCACATTTATAAGCACTATAATCACAGTAAAACTCTCCAAAGAAGAACAGGAATGGGAATACTTCATTCTACTCTATCTCAAGGCCTAAGTTTAGGATATAGCAAATTAATATATTTGCAAAAGTAGCTACAGTTCCCATGACAACAAACATTCAAAAATTAACTCTGAAGGAAAATGATTTATAACTACCTACTGTGGTTTCTCCACTGGAATATTTCTTTAAAATATACAGTCCAAAAAAAAATATAGTCAAAAACAGCAAGAAGTATTAGACAATAACTTACTTGAGTTGGAACGAGCACAGGAGGGTAAGCCATCTTATGATGCCTGTACACCCAAAATGCACAAATGACAATCCCCGCAATTAACATAAGTGGCACCAAAGAATAGAGCAAGATGTTGTAATAGGGAGGCTTAGGTGTTACTGGATTCGAAGTAGCTGTGGGAAAGAGGAAGAAAATCATTCAGATTTGGTCAATAAAATTCCACAATAAATATTTATTATAGTGCCAAATTGTAGGAGAAAAATAGAGGAGGAGAAGGTGGGAGTAAATTATTCTAACACAAACATGCTTTGTTTTCAATCTACTAGTTGAACAGACTTATGTGTTTTCCCTGTGAACTTACGCTGTGTGACCTCCATCTCCGGAAAATAAGAGAACCTTTCGTTACACATATTGCCCTCACAGCAACAAAAATAGACTTCAGGGCTATCTTTTTTTTCTATACAATCAGTCCTATAAATAAAAAGAGAAGAAATAATTAAAACCAACATTATTACTCTGAATCTACAACAGATGTTTTACTAAAGTTCTTCTCAGAGATAAAATAATGAGTAAGTCATTTATAGTCAACTTTGAGACTTTTATTAATATTCAACAATCAATTCTTAAAAGTCAAAAATGTTCCTTGAAACCAATTATGATATATCATCAGAAAAAAATCCAATAGCTGATTTTATAACAATCACATTGGCTCCATGAAGTAACTTCTTTAATTTGGATTTTAATGATCAATCTAAAGCAACCATCTTTTTATTGTTTTCTTTAATTATTAGAAAAACTTGAAGAGGAACATAAAGTCAATGAAGAAATTTGGTCTAAGAGTGCCTCATCCTCACAGAAAATAGAGCCTTTCCATTTTATGAATACAAAAACTGAACACTATATGTAGAAAACTGCATGTGTGTGTACACACATAAATACACACACACACGTATACAGATAAATGAGCTACTGTGATGGCTCAGACAGTAAAGACCCTACTTGCAATGCAGGAGACCAGGGTTAGATCCTCGGGTCGGGAAGATCCCCTAGAGAAAGGAATGGCTACCCATGACAGTATTCTTACCTGGAGAAATACATGGACAGAGGAGCCCGGCAGGCTACAGTCCATGAAGTCTCAGAGGGTCAGAAATGACTGAGCAACTAACATTTTCAGTTTCACTTCTCATACATATAAATACACAGGGACGAAGTAATCCTTGCTCATATCTCATGGCAGAACACATTTCAACATCAGAGACTTAAATCAGCCTTGGGAATTAAGCCATTTTTGCAGCAGAATTAAATTCCCTGAACCCAATGGACAGGGCTAAAGATAAACAAGTAAAGAGCAATCTGTAACAACAAAAATAGAGGCCCGAGTAACTAAAAAACTGACTAGAGTTAGATTCATTTAGAGGAGAAGGAAGGCAGCCTTCTCTATAGGAACTGAGTTACTGAAAAGACAAGAGATTTAGCCTCAAGATCAAATCCTAATCAACCACTAAAAAAATAGTTATGCCTAATTTTTAAAAGCAGATATTTAAATTGCTAATAATATCAGGTATACTTAGACATATATTACCAATAAACTGTAAACTTTTACAATGGTTGTTGAAAATAAGGTTGAATTTAATTCTAAAGTGAAAAGCCCAAGAAATTTCAGGGAGAAGGCAATTTTACCAAAATCAAACTTTGAAATAAAATTTATACCAGTATCTATTTAGTAGAAAGTAAAAGACAAATGAAAGCTAAATTTTTAACAATTGATAAAGAGAAATATATAAATTCAAAATTTAACATTCAGAATTATGCCTCAAATTACAGGTTAATATAATTAAATACTAGCCTAGTTAATGCAAGGAAATTACTTTTCACCATTCAATTTCATTCTTCATTTTCCCCATCTCTTCCTCCATACTTTGACATTTCTTCAATCTTCTTTTTCTTACTCTTATTTATCTGACTACTCTTAGTATTTCCTTTTTAATCGAATTCAGAACATAAAAAAAAAAATTCACATTTATTTAAATTAGCACTTAACCCTTAGAAGCAAAGCTGGTGTAGTAATTCTGACTCTAAGAGCAGGCATTTGCACTGACCAACTCACCATTATCTAGCAAAGTTTAATCTCAAGTAATACTGGTTTTAGGTGAGAAGCCAGTAACTTTTCACAATAAAAAGAACAGAGATCCTTGAACTCAACTAATTACTAAAAGATAGTCTTGAATAAGCTTAAGTTGAATGGTTCTATGAAGACCTACAAGACTTTCTAGAACTAACACCAAAAAAAAAGATGTCCTTTTCATCACAGGGCCTGGAATGCAAAAGCAGGAAGTCAAGAGATACTGGAGTAACAGGCAGGTTTGGCCTTGGAGTACAGAATGGAGCAGGGCAAAGGCTACCAGAGTTTTGCCAAGAGAACACACTGGTCACAGCAAACACCCTCCTCCAACAACACAACAGATGACTCTACACAGGGACATGACCAGATGTCAATGCTGAAATCAGACTGATTGTATTCTTTGCAGTTGAGAATGGAGAAGCTCTATACAGGCAGCAAAAACAAGACTGGGAGCTGACTGTGGCTCAGCTCATGAACTCCTTACTGCAAAATTCAGCCTTAAATTGAAGAAAATAGGAGGAACCACTAGATCATACAGGATGACCTAAATCAAATCCCTTATGATTATACAGTGGAAGTGCCAAACAGATTCAAGAGATTTGATCTGGGAGACAGAGTGCCTGAAGAACTATGGATGGAGGTTAGTAACACTGTACAGGAGGTGGTGACCAAAACCATCCCCAAAAGAAATGCAAAAAGGCAAACGGGTTGTCTGAGGAGGCCTTACAAATGCCGAGTAAAGAAGAGAAGTCAAAGAAGAGGACAGATACACCCATCTGAACGCAGAGTTCCAAAGAAGAGCAAGGAGACAGGAAAGCCTTCCTCAGCGAACAGTGCCAAAGAAACAGAGCAAAACAACAGGATGGGAAAGAAGAGATCTCTTTAAGAAAATTAAGAGATACCAAGGGAATATTTCATGCAAAAATGGGCACAATAAAGGACATATATGGCATGGAGCTAACAGAAGCAGAAGGTATTAAGAGGTGGCAAAAATACACAGAACTATACAAAAAAAATCTTAATGACCCAAATAACCACCATGGTGTGATCAGTCATCTAGAGCCAGACATCCTGGAATGCGAAGTAAAATGGGCCTTAAGAAGCATCACTACAAACAAAGCTAGTGGAGGTGATGGGATTCCAGTTGAGCTATTCCAAATCCTAAAGGATTATGCTGTGAAAGTGCTGTACTCAATATGCCAGCAAATCTGGAAAACTTAGTAGTGGCCAAAGGACTGGAAAAGGTCAGTTTGCATTCCAATCCCTGAGAAAGGCAATGCCAAAGAATGCTCAAACTACCAGAATACTGCACTCATCTCACATGCAAGCAAACGAATGTTTACAATTCTCCAAGACAGGCTTCAGCAGTACAAGAACCAAGAGCTTTCAGATGTTCAAGTTGGTTTTAGAAAAGGCAGAGGAACCAGAGATCAAATTGCCAACATCCGTTGGATCATTTAAAAAGCAAGAGAGTTCCAGAAAAACATCTCCTTCTGCTTTATTGACTACCCCAAAGTCTTTGACTGTGTGACTACCCCAAAGCCCACAACAAACTGTGGAAAATCCTTAAAAAGATGGGAATACCAGACCACCTGATCTGCCTCCTGAGAAATCTGTATGGAGGTCAGGAAGCAAAAGTTAGAACTAAACAGGGAACAATGGACTGGTTCCCAATCGGGAAAGGAGTATGTCAAAGCTGTATATTATCACACTGCTTATTTAACTTACATTCAGAGTACATCATGTAAAATGCCAGGCTGAATGAAGCACAACCTAGAATCAAGACTGCCAGGAGAAATATTAACAAGCTCAGATATGCAAATAACACCACGCTTATGGCAGAAAACAAAAAGGAACTAAAGAGTCTCCTGGTGAAGGTGAAAGAGGACAGTGAAAAAGTTGGCTAAACTTAACATTCAGAAAACTAAGATCATGGGATCTGGTCCCATCACTTCATGGCAAACAGACAGGGAAACAATGGAAACAGTAACAGACCTTATTTTCTTGGGCTCCAAAATCACTGCAGATGGTGACTACAGCCATGAAATTAAAAGACACTTGCTCCCTGGAAGAAAAGCTATGACTAACCTAGACAGCGTATTAAGAAGCAGAGACATCACTTTGCTACAGCGTATTAAGAAGCAGAGACATCACTTTGCTACAAAGGTCCGTCTAGTCAAAGCTATGGTTTTTCCAATAGTCATGTAAGGATGTTGATAGTTGGACCATAAAGACAGCTGAGCACAGAAGAACTGATGTTTCAAACTGTGGTGCTGGAGAAGACTGTTTATAGAGTCCCTTAGACTGCAAGGAGATCCAATCAGTCAATCCTAAAGGAAATTAGTCCTGAATATTCACTGGAAGAACTAATAATAAAGCTACAGCTCCAGTACTTTCTCCACCTGATGCAAAGAGCCAACTCACTGGAAAAGACGCTGATGCTGGCAAAGATTGAAAGCAGGAGGAGAAGGGGACGACAGAAGATGAGATGGTTGGATGGCATCACTGACTCAATGGACATGAGTTTGAGCAAACTCCGGAAGATTGAGAAGGAGAGGGATGCCTGGTGTGCTGCAGTCCATGGGGCTGCAAGGAGTCAGACATGACTGAGCGACTGAACAACAAGGTTTGAATAGAGATTATCCCCAAACTTCATTTTTCCCCAACTTCTTTCTCCTTAGCTTTTTTTTTTTAATTGATATATAACTGGCATGTAACATTAGTTACAGGCATACAACCTAATGACTGAATATTAGAGTATATTGTGAAATGATCACCATAATAATCTAGCTAACATCCCATCACCACACAGTTACAAATTTTTTTCCTTGTGAACAAAGCTTTTAAGATTTCCTCTTATGGCAACTTTCAAATATACAATATATTATTATTAACTATAGTCACCATTACCCCACATTCTCTATTACATCCCTAGGACTTATTTGTTTTATAACTGATAATTCATACCCTTTTGATTCCCTTCACCCATTCTCCCCACTTCTCACCCTTGGCCTCCAGCAACCACAAATAGTTCTCTCTATATATATATGGGTTTGTGTATGTGTGGTTTTTTTTTTCTTTTTTAAGATTAATATACAAGTGAGATCATGTGGTATTTGTTTTTCTCTGTCTGACATTTCACTTAGGATAATGCCCTCAAGGTCCATCAGTATTTTCATGAATGGCAAGGTGTTCTTTTTCACGGATGAAAAAGATTCCATTGTATATACAAAGCATATTTCCTTGATCCATTTATTCACTGACAGACACTTAGGGTGCTTCCACATCTTGGCTATTGTAAATAATGTGGCAATGAACGTTGTGGTACATTTATCTTTTCAAGTTTATGTTTTTGTTTCCTTTGGACATATACTCAAAAGTGGAACTGCTATATCATTGCTATTTTTAATTTTCTGAGGAACCTCCATACTGTTTCCCCAGTGGCCCTACTTATCCTTTCATAATAGCAAATATCACTTAATGATCACCTCTGTTAATAAAGAAGTTAATAATCAGAAATACAGCTAAAATGTGTAATTACAGAGCAGTAATCCTTGGAAAATTCACAGATGCAGAAATACACCCTAACTACTAAGTGGTCATGTATAGATGTGAGAGTTGGACTGTGAAGAAAGCTGAGCGCTGAAAACTTGATGCTTTTGAACTGTGGTGTTGGAGAAGACTCTTGCGAGTCCCTTGGACGGCAAGGAGATCCAACCAGTCCATCCTAAAGGAGATCAGTCCTGGGTGTTCAATGGAAGGACTGATGCTGAAGCTGAAACTCCAATACTTTGGCCACCTCATGAGAAGAGTTGACTCACTGGAAAAGACCCTGATGCTGGGAGAGATTGGGGGCAGGAGGAGAAGGGGACAACAGAGGATGAGATGGCTGGATGGCATCACCGACTCGATGGGCATGAGTTTGAGTAAACTCCGGGAGTTTACCCCTGATGGACAGGGAGGCCTGGCGTGCTGCGATTCATGGGGTTGCAAAGAGTCGGACACGACTGAGCGACTGAACTGACTGAACTAACTGTATGTACCTAAATGACTATTTTAATTTCTCACCAAAAGTGGAACTAATTTAATTTTCATGAGTTTATTCAACACATTTTACTATTAATCATATATGGCCAATCAACGAGAGATTTATAGTAATCAATCAAAATCCCTGCAAGTAGATCAGGACATAGCTAGATTCCATGAGTGTATTAGTTATTTGGCTTCAAAAAATCTGGTTATCTAGGATTTTTCAGCTTCTGCAGTCATCAGCACCCACCCACAGTGAAACTCTTGTGGCCTGGGCTCAACATCTAGGGACACTTTACAGAAAGATCACAGGCAGTAACATACCCACTGTATCCCCTGTACTTTATTTCCAGTACAGAATAAAACAGTTTAAGCAAAATCTTTTAAATAAAATGAAGCTTTCTATGAGGACTGTGTTAGTTCTGATGTAATTCTGAATGTCAAGTTAAAATGTCCCTCGGGATAAAGAACAAAGGCCTACTCTGCAAGGAAAAAAGGGGAAAATGTAGTGAGATCAATTTCTTCCAGATACATAAAGAGGGAAACTAAAAGGAAATTTAATACTATGATTAAGCTTTATTCTCTTTCAGGATAGATTTTCAACAGATATACTCTCTTTTAAAGCAATTTTTAAAATCCCTTTTCATTAAAACTGCTATTTAAAAAAAAAAAAACATAATCCTACAACATAGGGAAATAAATGTTTCTTATCTAAAGTTTTCACTACTTGGTAGATAATTCGAAGTTACAGAAGATTAAACATAAATATGCTATATTTGTTTTGTTACTTTAAAACATGCATTTTGTCATCAACATGTTATAATGATCTTTATACTCTCATCTTTAAAAAGAAGCATTTAAGTGAAAATCCATGCATTGATCCATCCCCTTTTAAAAAAGAGGGAGAAGTGAAAATTATTCAACACTATCATAAACAAAATGCATTCTTACCTGTCATAGCAGTTGATATCATCCAGCCAACAACCTTGCTTCACTATTTCAATGGAACCAGAAATATTCTTCCATGTAGCAAAACAATGCCGCCGTTTATCTTTGTCACCATAACAGGATTCAACACCAGTGCGATTGGTTCTATCTCTTTCCCAATTAGCATTATAGAAAATACACTCCTGAGTTTCTGATCTACCAAGTATAGCACCTATAAGATAATAAAACAACAACTTAATATAACTGTATTTGTTCTTACACTGTCTCCCAGTATACCAAATTTCAGATCTTCCTAAAATGTCAATAATTTACTGTCTTACTGTTATAATATTGGGTTTAGGTTTCCAGGTCCATCTTTGTATTTTAGGTTTAATAAACATAGTAGAAAGTGACCAAATAAATCACGTTTTCTCTGTAAAAGACCAGCTTTGCTTAAGAATGTCCTTGATAAAAAGCAGTAACACTGTTAATTTTCTTAAATTTTGACCCTTGACTCAAGATTTCTTCTCAATATTCTGTGTGACAAAGTGGTAACTAACGAAAAGCACGTCTGCTGCACACTGCAGTACAAAAAAAAAAAAGGCTTTTTTTGCCTCCAGAAAAAGCCGTTGCATGACTGAGCTGTGAACTAAACCAACCATGGTTATTCAGACTTGAGTATCTGGCAAAAAAGTTCTCAAAATTAACCAAATTAAACCTGTTACTTCAAGAAAAACAACTGATAGTATGCACTGCCAATGATAAAATATGTGTTTTCCAAGCAAAATTAAGAATTTTGGAAAAACTGTACCAACCACCACCATTAGCCTGACACCTTCCCAATATTTAAAGAATTTTCTGATGAGGTCATTAGTAATATTAACAAATATGACTTTTAAATACAGAATAATAAGATGTGCCAACATTTAAAAGGTCTATATAATTCAGAGAACCAATATTTTCCAAGTGAATTCTGTGTGACATTTGAAAAACACTCATGGGTTAAAATAAATCCATTCAATGTTCAAGATAGCCAAATAGACTCTAGCATTACAGAGGATGAAAAGTTCATTAGTGGTTTCAGATTCCACACTGTACTAACTTTTAAGAAACCATCTCTTGCTTTATATGGAAAAGTAAGAGAACTGGAATACCCAAAATAATTCTGAAAAAGATGTACAAAAGAGAACTCATACTACTTGATTTTGGGCAGTATTTTTAGTCATGCCACATGGCTTGCGGGATCTTAGCTGCCCACCCAGGTATTTAACCTGGGCCATGGCAGTGAAAGAGCCTAGTCCCTAACCACTGGACCACCAGGGAGTTTCCTATACTAATTGTTTTTAAGTCTGACACTAAAACTTCAACAATCAAGACAATGCAGTCTTAGTAAAAAGACATGCACCTAGGGGACAGGACAGAGAATCCAGAAACAGACCCAGACACATACAGTCAACTGATGCACAGCCAAAATGCCAATGCAATGTACTTAGAGAAAATAAAGTCTTCCAACAACTGATGCTGGAACAACTAGACATCTATATACAGAACAAAGAACCTCAACTCATAACAACTTATAGCTCATACCATATACAAAAATTAACTCTAAAAATATCATAGACATAAAATAAAACCTTAAACTATTATTATATAACTTCTAAAAACAAGAAAAATCTTGTGACCCTAAATTATTAACATGAAAGATTTGTTAAAATACAAAAAAATAGGAGCTACAAAAGAAAAAATTGGACTTCAAAAGCTGAACTTCATTAAAATTGAAACTTCTCTTTGAAAGTTAAGGAAAAAAACTCAGACTGGGAGAAAATAACTGCAAATTATATACCTAAAAAAGAACAGATATTCAGAAAATATAAAGATCTATCACAACTCAATAATAAGAAAACATATTACCTAATTTCTAAAAAATGGGCAAGAGATTCAGACAGACACCTTATCAAAGAAATATGAATGGGAAATACTACATAGAAAGATACTCAGTATCACTAACCAGGGAAATGCAAACTAAAACTAGATCTAATATTCATTAGAATGACTAACATAAAAATAAAAACATACAATCTTAAGTTTTGGGAAATATGTAGACCAATTGCAACTTCTACACATCGGTAGTGGGGATGCAAAATGGCCCAATAACTCAGGAAAAAGTCTTCTTACAGTGAAACATGCATCTACCATACTACACAACAATCTCATGCCTAGGTATTTAAGAAACGAAAACATATATCCATGCAAAAATCTGTAACTTTTAGAGTGGCTTTATTCAGAATCACCAGAAACCACCCAATATCTAGCACTGATATATGTAAAAATAAACATCTGTACAAAAAAATAATAAATGCACTGGTGAGAGCTGCAACTAAATGGATAAACTGTAAACATATTATGCTAAAAACAAAAATGGACTGAAAAGGCTACATACTGTATGATTCCATTTACCCAATATTTCGGAAAAGGCAGAAGTTCAGGTATGAAAATCAGATCAGAAGTTAAGAGTGAGGGGAGAGGGCTAATTACAAAAGGGTATAAGGAAACTTTTAGAGGTGATAGATATTCCACATTTTTATTGTGGTGATGGTTATATAATTCATGAGTTAATCAGACTGCACAGACTTGTGTATCTAAACAAAATATATTTTATTCTCTGCAACATATACTTCAATCAACTTGACTTTACAAAACAAAACCATCAAAGAAATTACCTCTTGTTGAGTTATGGTATACTATCAAAGAAAAATACCCACAATTATCTTAAAAAGCTATTAAAATACTCCCCATTTTTCTGACTATATCTGTGTTTGGCCAGATTTCCTCCATGTCAAAACATCACAAGTTTTTGCATCACAACAAACTGAGTGGAAAAACAGATACAAGAATTCAGTTGTCATCTACTAAAACAATTATAAAGAAATTTGTAAACAAATTTCTCTAGCTTTTTAGAAAATATTTTTCATAAAAATCTATTCTTTTGTTAACATATAATGGACTTATTATTGACACTTTTAAATAAATATTTTTTAATTTTCTGCCCTAATTTCTAATATGATGATATTTATAGATACAAACCACATAAAAATCATCTTGGGTTAAGAAAGAAGTTCTGAGACCACAAAGTTTCTACATTATTCCTTCTTAGAAACCTGTTGAAGAAAACAGCAAATTAAGTTTCCTCCTTTACTAAATAACCCAAAAGCAAACACGCACTATCTGTATTATAACAGAGACTGGCAAACGTTCTCTGGAAAGGGCCAGACAGTAAATATATTAGGCTTTGCTGGCCTTGTGGTTTCTTTTACAACTACTCAATTCTGCCAATGCAGCACAAAAGCATCCACTGGACAGTAAATGAATGAGCACTGCTACATTTCAATAAAACTTTACTAATGGACACTGAAGACTAAATTTCATGTAATTTTTACGTCACAAAATATCCTTTTAAAAAAAAAATTCCCCCACCATTTAAAAATGTAAATATCATTCTGAGTTCACAGGGTGGATCCGCCTACAGGCTCTGTGGTCAGCTATCTCTTGAAATAACATCCTAATTTCTAGATGACTGGACTTTTCTTTTGCTTGTTTTGTTTTGCTGGGGGCAGGGGGGTCTTCTATGAACTACCACTTGTATAACTCACATTAAAAACCACTATTAATTATTTTTAATTTCCAAAAGAAGACTCCACAGAGGTACAGAACATTTAAAGTAAACAAAACTAACCGCCAAAAAAGTACACTGCCTAGAACAAAAATGCCAAATACAATAGGTTTCATCTTTGGTGTCAATTCCAATCAGTTAAGAGTGGCTGTCAGAAGCAATGTACTGAGAAAGATGTTGAGGTAAAGCGCCTTGGAATTAGTATAGAAGGAACGGGGGAAAACACCAGTTTTGTTTCTTTGCCACCTCTGGTCTAGAAAAAAGATAAACAAATGATTACTTTTTATTTCTTTTAAAACTTCTCAATATTTAATGATAAGTTAAGATTTCAGAATGGCTTTCTAGACCTAGATTATCATTTGATATTACTCACAGATAGAAAATTGCTTATGGGAAAAACTGACAATTTTGCCAACCCCCTCCCATATCTTCAAGTTGATTCAGTAATCAGTCTTTATCCCATCATATCTCTTACTGACCACTAAATACAATAACATAATTGTAAAAATAAAGCAAGTTACATGTATTGTTATGTTCTTACGCTCTCCTAGTGACTTTAAAGGTGCACTTCTAAAAAGGATGGTAAAAGTTACCTATATTTTCTAGTTTTTAATAGCATTTCACAATTTTAGGTTTTATTAAACTGTAAATTTCTACCATAGGTTTATTCTAACAAAGTAATTACAAATAGTTAATACAATTTTCAAAAGAAATAAATGGACATAAAAGGTCTATTTGCAGGGTTTATTATAATGGTTTTTAACCTATGATGTGCATCAGAATCCCCCATGTGTTTCCTCAAACTCATCTTTGAGTACCATTTTCTATGCCCCAGGAATGAGTAGCTGAAAAGTACATGAGGTCAGCAGGGGGGTATAAAGATATATAGATACTATGTGTATGTTTTCTTTGCTTCTTTTGGCAGACTCACTGGTGATCTAATGTTTCTTCCCAGTTAAATATTGGCTTAGAAGACTATGAACTGAACTTGGAAATTAGTTTACACACTATGACCTTGAACAAGTTACCAAACCTTGCACTGTTTTGGTTCTACATTTGATTCAATCTCCCTAACAATTCCAAAATTACTATGGATAATTCTGTAGTTTCATAACTCATACTCAGGCAAGTTATAATAGCAAATCAGTAAGTCTATCACAGAATCAAGTATTAGAATTATTTTTCATAAATTATTTCAGATAATAATCCTATTTCCAACCTACTGCTTATACATAATGATTGATACTGAGAATTTCATTTTTTCCTACCATTTAAAAAAAGAAAAAAGGCAATACACAGGACCTAAAATTAATCAAAACAGCCCTGTAAAAGTCATACTCAAATCTAAGATACTCCTCCAATGAGGAAAAAGTAAATTTTATCTAATGTGAATGCATCTGAGAACAACAGGGGTTTTGTTTTTAAAAGCATGGAGTATTAAAATAATACACCAGCATTAATTTTACACAATCTCCTTCAGAACCAGAAGAAGAGGGACTACTTCACAACTAGTTTTATGAAGCACGTATTACCTTGATACAAAAATCAGTCAAAGACAGAAA